GGACCTTAAAGCTCCTCCAGCTCCAACCCTTGCCACAGGCAGGGACCCCTTCCACTGGAGCAGCTTGCTCCAAGCCCCTGTGTCCAACCTGGCCTTGAACACTGCCAGGGATGGGGCAGCCACAGCTTCTCTGGGCACCCTGTGCCAGCGCCTCAGCACCCTCACAGGGAAGAGCTTCTCCCTAAAATCCCACCTCAATCTCCCCTCTGGCCGGGTCAAGCCGTTCCCCTTCTCCCGTCGCACATCCTGGTACCGCTCTGCCCGATCCCGGCTCCTCTCCCAGCTGCCTCCAGCGTTTCTTTCTTCCTGAAAATGCGTGCCACCTAGTGCCCACTGAGCCCAGCGCAGCGCATCCCGCCGGAGCCTTGCTGCATCCTCCTGGAATACGTGGGTCTTCATAGGCCCCTTCCAGCACAAACCGTTCTGTCATTCCAAGCGCCAGGCTCGGACACGGCATCTCCATCCCAGGCAGGCAGCGATGTCCGCCCCGTCTGTCGTGTCAGCCTGTCTTTCCCCATGGGGGCCACCACTTCCCGATCAGCGTTGTTTAACAGCACTTAGGCTGTGGCTGCAGCAGTCCCAGCTACCACAGCAGAAGCCGGTTGTCTGTGTTTCCCAATGCTTGAAGACACAGGCAGGGAAAGCAGCATGTTCTGCTCCTAATGGACATGTCGCATATAAGCAGCTGTTGTCCCATAGGATCTGCTGCCTGGAGCACGGTGCTCACCCCAGAATGACATGAGAATGTCATAGGATCATAGAATAGTTAGGGCTGGAAAGGACCTTAAGATCATCCAGTTCCAACCCCCCTGCCATGGGCAGGGACACCTCACACTAAACCATGGCACCCAAGGCTTCGTCCAACCTGGCCTTGAACACTGCCAGGGATGGAGCATTCACAGCCTCCCTGGGCAACCCATTCCAGTGCCTCAGCACCCATGTCAATGGGAATGACATCAGAGGGGACACAGGAAAAGGGGGGGGGAACTACAGGCATACCCTAAAGCTGGTGGTCCACAGCGAGTGCCTTTGCTGTGATTGATCATGGTGACCGAGGGGACCCAGCTCCCTGCTTCCCACCCCTTCATTCCACCCTTATGGTCCATGCCTGCTCCTCCACAGCTCTGGATGCCATCCCAGACCTGTGGCACAGGTCGGCTGCCCTGTGGAAAGCTGCCTGTCAGCACCGTGTCCTTGGGCTGCTGGCTCTCCCCTGACTGGGGTGGTTGCTGCAGCACGTTGGTCAGGAAGCAGCTTACCAGGAGGAACAAAGGGGATGTTGTCCGGGAGGGGATGGGTACCTCTCTCGGAGCTCCAGCCTGCTGCAGCCCGGTGCTGAGCCTCTCCGGGGCTGCCCTTCCTTCAGCACTAACAGAAAACCCATCACAGTTATCACCTGGGTCTCCAAAGAGCACAGAGGTGTGCGAGGACCCAGGCAGGGCTCAATGCCAGGACAAGGAATCAAAATGCTCTTGTGCTGCTCTTACATCTTTCCCTTCTCCTAAGAAGAACCGTGTGGTTTTGGGGTGTGAGAGACCCCACATTGCAGGGTCCCATCAGAGACTTGCATGACAGGAGTGAAAGCTCCATCCTGCTGCACCTTTCATGCCCATCTTCCCCAAAACACCATGACAGTGGGAAGGAAACCCATAAACACGCTGTGATTTAGCGCAGCAACCAGTTGGGTAAACCTGACACTCATTGTAAGCCAGCTAAGGGCTGACAACAGCAACTGGTGTCCTGAGGAGCAGCTCAGCCCTGTTCTTTCCTCCTGCCAGCAAGAAGATGCCTTTTGCTTTAGCTTATGGCTTTTTATATTGCATCAGGCCCTTCTTATAAATCACCAACATGTTTCTTGGCAATGGTGTAGGACATGCAAATGAGATTGTCTTTCCTTTGTGCATTCGCCCAGCTAATCAAAAAGGAAAGCCTATTATTATTATTATTTAATTATTGTTATTGTTATTACTATTATTACTATTATTGTTACTATTATGGCTCTGTTTTATGCTCATTTTCCCCATCTTCCATCCAAGACCAAGCTGCTGCCAGAAAAGAGATCTGGTGGCTGCTGCTGTAGATTCCATCCACCCCACTGCTGCAGGAAACCAGGACAGATGCTGCTCATGGCACATGATGCTGAGTGGACATGGGAATGGTCCTGCTGAGCCCTGACCCCTGCAGGACCCATCTCCTGCGAGCATCACCGATGTCCTTGGGTCACTATGCAGCAGGGCCATCAAGAAGGACAAAAAGAGCTTTTTTTCCCTGGCCAGCCTTGCTGCCCTGTGGAATCTTATAATTAGCCTTTCCTATGTTGTGGCTGTGCCTTGAATAAGGCTGGCTGTGTTTGCTCTGCAGTGTAAGCCCATAGCCTGATGCTGCCAAGCCACTCCAAACACACACAGTAATGATGCAGACATGGAAAACATCCAAGATGCTGCTTAAATGGACCAGGAAATCATGGAGAGCATCTTTGTGCTGCCGACCTTACCCATGCACGTTTGCATTTAGGGAGGGTTTTCCTCCTGCTGTTCCAAGCCTGGATGTGGATCGATGCTGGAGTTGGTGATCTCCAGCCTGCAGGCGCTGGCAGCGAACCAGGATGGCAGAGACTTTGTCAAAGTTTAGGCAAAACAGACTTAAAAGGCACCTTTGAAACTCGCGTTTGGGAGCTGGCTAATGAGAGCTTTGCTGCTGAAGGAAATGGGAAGTAAAAGCCTAATTGCTAATTACTGAATCCCTACAAGAAAGCGATGGCAGATGGGCAACCATGTACTTGGCTACGGTCATAGCCGGAGCCTGCTTTGTACTGAGTGAGAACAAGAAGCTTTTAAGGGCATTTAAGGGTCTGGGCTTTGTGTAGAAGGAAATGAACAATCCAGCAGCAAGAGCAACTGCTGCCTCCAGGAAAGCAAGGGCAGGGATCCTGTTGATCATAAAATCAACATGCTCAAAGCCAGAAGTATTTTGACTCTAATACAAGTATTCTACTCCTAAAGTTGCTGGGGAACTTAAGAATCCACAAGACTGGGAAACCCAGGGTATTTGGGGGTCCTTTATCCATTGCTTTCCAGGCTGCTGAGAGCCTGGAGTCTCACACAACAAGACTTTTACTTGCAATGGTAGTTAAAATGGTTAAAAGCCCATAATGGTTAAAAATGGTTAAACACACACCTGTTTTTAAAATAGAGAGGTGTCCTGGTTGGGAGATGAAGGAGACAACGTGAAGGTGTAGCAGATGAGGTGATGGAGGTGGATGGGAAAGGTTTCCAGCCCTGGGGTATGAGATGGAAAGAACAGGGAAGGTCTCCCAGCCTCGGATGCCTGGGCAGGAAGTATCCTCGGTAGAAAAAGAGTCTCTGAAGGCAGTTTCTTGCCCAGGAACAGGCTGGGAAGACTGGAATGCAAGAGGAGCAGGACTCCCACAAGCAGTGCCCAGGTCCCATGAGCGGGAGGTTGGGAGCATCCGCTCCTGCTGCATCCCGATGCTGGCTCAGGTACCAACGGCAGTTCCCAGACAGGGCGTTATTGCTGGCTCCCTCTCCAGGTGGGCATTCAGGAGGGAGGTGGGAAGGAGCTGCAAAGCCCAAGCCCTGTGGAGCAGCTTCTCCCTTCCCCTGAAGTGTAACCCAGGCTCTGCCAGCTCCCAGTTTCGGGATGTGTCCCTGCCTGCCTTCCTGAAACCCGAGCCATTCCCTCCTCGCCATGTCTCCTTAGAGGTCTTCCCTCTCTCCTTCCCCTTCCTCTTCTTCTTCCCCCTCCTCCTCCCTCCCTTCCTCCCTTGCTTTCGGGGTGCTCTGCCCCAGGATGGGATGCAGGGCTGCCGTCCTGCCCTAGAGCTGCAACCCAGCCAGCAGCAACCCCAAAGATGCAAAGAGATGATGGGCTGGAGCTGTTCACTTGATGGATGAGATGCTTTTTATCTTCATTTTTAACTATTTTTAGTTAATTTCCTAAAGAAGACCTCGCCTAAAGAAAAAAATAATTCCTGCCTCATCCCCATCACCTTTTCCCGGAAATATTCATTTCAACAATCATTTGTTCAGGTTTTTAACTAACTCGCCAGCTTTTTCCTTTACTTCGAAAGAGAGCAGTGATTTCTGTGATTCAGTACACCCATTGCTATACTGGGAAGGCAATACCAAACAGGTATGTGGATTTATGATGCTTTTTCATGGGTCAGCATGGTAATTACAAGTCATGGTATGACGGGGCTGCTGAAAGACTCAGTTCTTACAGTTGGATAGTTGAAGAGTGACAGCTCAAGAGCAAGGGGGTCTGTCAGCTATGGCCATGGGGACCAAAGGGGACCAAAGGACCTGAGGGGTCTCGTGTCCTAGCTGGGATTTAGGCACAGTTTGGGTGTTATTTGGGGTGAAATCAGGGGCTTTCTGTGCCCTACCCTGTAAGTTTTGCATCAAGCACTGTGGTCAGTGTGGGGTTGGGGCTGATGTGGGTGTTGGAGCTTCTTCCATCAGATGCATGGTTGGGGTTTGCTTTACCTAACAGCTTGAAAGACCCTTGTTTGAAGGCACTTTCAGAAGCTCACGTTTACCAGCCCTTTAAAAGGGATGCTGTGCTTTGCTACAACGGCTTATTAAGGCTTAAAAGCAGCTTTTCATCTCTAAGCATCCTTAAGGATGCTGCGCAAGGAAAGGGGGTTCAGTTTGCAGCCGAGTTGGGGTGAGGATGGAGAAGCAGACACAAAAGAGAAGGGAAGGTCGGGTTTTACCTGCCTGGGGTCAGCCATGGCTCAGCACCGCAGTGGTTAATGCCCCGTGCCAGGGAGCAGGAACGTGCTGGCTCCGACACAAGAATGGCCCTGGATGACAACGTCCCTGCAGGCAGGACACGATGCGAGGGTTTGGCCGGGGCAGGGCAGCAGCGGGGCCGTCTGTCAGCCCTGCCCCGCGGGGGACAAAAGGGGACATTATTCAGAGCGGCAGAGGGATGAATGGAGCATTGAAAGCATCACCTTAGGGAGTGGATTGGTTTCCATGCCCATCGCGGAGCTGCCTGTCTGCTGGCGGGTGTCCTCCGAGCAGAGTGGTGAGAGCAGGGAGGTGGAATAGGGATGTACCCCATCCACATGGCTGCATCCTGCACCTCCAGCACTGGGCTGCTGTCATCTCCCACTGGTGCAGACAACAAAGCCAAAGGCTTGCTCCGGAAGCTTGCAGCACACCCAGCCTATGGTCTTGATGGGAGCTCTTCCCACTGCATTGGAAAACCAGGAGCAGCAAAAGGCTGCTAGAGGGATGCTTTACATCCACAGGGATGCCTTTTGGTCACCAATACATCAGATACCAAGGTCCTTCCCCAAGTTTCTCACCATCAGTAGATGCTTCAAGCAGCAGCAGCCGGTGCACATCCCTTCGGATGTGCCTTGTGTTGGCTGGAGGGACTAAAGGAGGGCTCTGCTTAGCTGAGACTTGCAGCCTGGCTTCAGAGCCAGCGTGTGAAAGCATCCTCACGATGGCACTGCTCCACCAGCACACGCTGCCGTCCCAGTGCTGCTGGCAGCGCGATGCTGGGACCGCTGGGATGCTGGTCCCGGTCCCAGAGGGGTAACGGAAAGCAGGATCAGCCCCATCCTGCTCCCCAGACTGAAACCGAGCTAGGAGTGCATCAGTGATTCCTGAAGGGAGCAGCGAATGAAGGGGAAATGGCATCTTATTTAATCTCTTCCTCGTTTTCTGCCTGACATTCCCCTGTTTGCTTCCTATCTTGTCCCTGCAGATTTCACATCCCCCAGGTGAATGAGGTTCTCCTGTCAGACCCCAGAGGTTTCTGTCTTCCCATATAAATGCCTTTCCCTGCTTTTTCCCTTGGGATGCTGAAGAGCACCAGCGGAGCCAAGACAAAGCAGAGGGTTGGCCATGGCTGTGTCCAGGCTGGGATGGGATGGGGAGCTCCTTCACAGTTCAGCCTGGATTCAGTGTGTGACTCAGTTTACCCACGTGTGGCATGGGGTATATGGTATATACGTGCTATGGGGTTTGCTGGTAACATCACAGATCTGAGGTCCATCCTTCAGGCAGTACAGCAGCCTAAGGCTCTCTCCTTGCTCCCAGTTTTGCCTCATGGATGGATGTGGCCTTGCAGCTTCATCCTGACGTTCAAAACCTCTCTCTTCCTCTCTATCAATCCAACCTGAGTTGTTTTTCCTGTCACTCCTTCACTGCTTCAGTAAGTGATGAGGAGGGGCTTTGTGGGGCCTGCATGGCCCTTGATGGGGCACAGGCTCTGCTGTCCATCACCACTAACACTGTCATTTTCATGTTTCAGGGACATCCTCCTCTCGATACCCATCTGCAGGAGGACCACAGCGCAGCGATGAGACACGGTCCATGTCTGGCCACCCGGCATGGCACAGGGGTGCTGGACATTGGGATGCTGATGCCAGCCACACTGCTCCTTCTCCTCCTCTTCCTCAGCCCCACTGGTGAGCCTCTGCATGCTGCGGTGGGATAGGTAGCTTTAGGTACCCACCACCTCCCTCCTGGCTTTGCAGGAGGAGATTTTCCTCATGGAGCAGGAATACCATGATGTCCCCAACAGCACTGAGTGTGCACAGGGGTGGAAGGAGGAAGTTCAGCTCTTATGTCCCCCCATGACCTATGCGTGATGCCAAGTGCAGCAAGGGCATCCTGCTGAGCATCCATCCCCTGAGGATGATGATCCCAATCACTCCCGGCAGGCGCTGTCCTTCCAGGCTGGAATTGGGAAAAGCCATTCCAGTGTTGGAACATGGTAATTATCCTGGTGTGACTCCATCAGTGTAATTACAGCCGGGCCTCAGCAGGGCCCCACAAGACAAAGCCAGCCGGGAAGCTGGTAAATCACTAACGGAGGGGGATTTGTTCCTGCATGTGGTGGTTATATTTAGCAATAGGAATGGGATGGTGTTTACTTGAGATGGTTTCCCCTTTCCTTTTAGCCTTGTGCAGCTGGATCAGAGGAATGTGGAGGGCTCCCTCTCCTCTCAGAACCCCCTGTTTTCCCCTCATCCCTCGCTGCTGCAGACATAACAGGCACATGTTCTCCCGGTCTCTTGTGACTTTGCTGGAGGATGCTCTCAAATGAGTATTTCAGAGCTTTGATTTTGACTTAAAAGGGAGATGAATATTGAATATTTAACAGTGTCCTTTCCTCCACTGCTTCCTCTGCACTGGAGTGGACTCAGTGCTAAAAACCAATACAAACCAGGAGCAAAAGCTCTTCCTAAAAAGCCACATTCCCGGGCAGGGGGGATCTGAGTTACCTCTCTCCTGTTACCCAGCCCATGGGGCTGCTGTGTCCTTCATCATCCTCTCCCTCATTGAGCCCCTCTGTTCCCTTGGTCTCCTGTTTAATCCCTACTTCTCTCTTGGCATCACAGCATCGCTCTCCAGCCTGCCTGGGTCCAGCAACGGGTGGCATCTGGCTCCTAGCCCTTACTCCTGGGTGCTAAGTCATAGCTACAGCAGCCAGTTGCCTTACTCCCATTTCTCCTGGGGCTTCCAGGTCTTTCTTTGACAACCCTGTTTTGCAGCTGACTTCATAGTCTCCCAGGCAACGTTCTAAGCAAGGCAGAAGGGAGGTGGGTTCATCCGCTCGACCATCACATTGCTTCTCATGGTGGTGACATCCTCCTCCGGAGCAGGAGGGATCGACCTTCCTGTCATTGCTCGTGGGCTGAGCGTGAAGCAGGACAGGGCTGCTCCAAGCCAGGGGTAGGAAAAGAGGCCACGGAGCCACCCCGGGTGTTGATCACCCCTTGGGTGCTATAACTGGTGTGGAGGGATTTAACTTGAACGCTGTCATCCATCTGTGCAGCCGGAGTCTCATCCCGAGGCGCTCTGGATGCAGGAGTTGGTCTGTGCTGCCTTCCAGCATCCTGAGGCTTGCAAACCCCTGAGGCACCCTATGGGGCAATGACAGGGGCATCCACAAGGTCCAAACACCCGTCCCCATCCACTGTCCCCCAGGGCACCATTGCCATGAGCCCCCGCACAACCTGGAGACCTCTGTGCCTCGTGTGTGCAGCATCCAAGGGGGACCCCACATCATTGGGGCTGAGAGGGGATTTGTGCCCGTGTAGCACCCAACCTATGGGAGAGGGTCCAGCCTGGTGTGGGGAGCGGGTTGCTGGGGGAGCTTTGGATCTGCCCATGGGCAGCATCCGTACCCCTGCTTGTGGGCTGCTGGCAGAGCACTTTCAGAGCCCCTATTTAAGCCCAGCTGATGGGGATGGGGATGCATCCTGCAGGCGTTCAGCTCCCTCCAGATGCTGCTTGTTCACGCTGGGCTGAGAATTAAATAGGAATGAAAGCCCCAAGGCAGCTGCTTCTCCTGTGGCTGGGAAGCTGAGCCCCGAGGCAGAAATCACCAGGGGTCTGTCTGTGTGCAGCAGACATGGAGCTGCCCTTCCAGAGCCAGCTGCGATCGAGAGACCTCATCCTGATGTTCCGACAGCCCTGGGTTACACCAGCGTGCAGGAGACCAGCAGCAATCCCCTGGGTTTGCATGAAGCCAGTTTTGTTTAATGGGATAACCACGGAGGAATCCCTCCTCTCCCACCTCGCTCTGCTCCTTCCCGGCTGCAGGAGGATGTTTCTGCAGCAAACCCTTGCTAAGCCCTTGGCAGCATCACCCAGGCTCTGGCTCCCGGCCAGGCTGGGATCCCGTGTCTGTGGTCCATGCTCCCCTCTGCTCCCTCTACCATGCACCTCTTCTCTTGGAGCTTGGTGTCATCGGCACCCCAAAGGGTGTCAACAAGGGGACAGGCACCCGCCGTGCCCTGCATCCCTGCTGCTGTCAGCCTCCGAGCTGCATCCATCCTCACTGCAAGGATGCTGCGGAGATCTGATCCCTTTCCTTCTCCCTTGCAGGCACCAGCTCGGAGCCCGCACTGCTGCCATTCCCGGGTGAGATCCTTGTCTTCAAGCCATTCTTCTCCAGGAAGTTTTGTAGTTCAAAAGTGTGGGTTTTGGTTAAAAATGGGGTTTGGTGGATTTCAGAAAGTTTTGGAACCTTTGGCATATTGGTTTGGAACAAAAAGTGGCAAAAAAGAGCTGAACTCCTTTTACAAAAAGGAATTAGAGTTTCCTTATTATCCCTATTCCACGTATTATCCCGAGAGGGGAATTTTGCCACCTCCTGCTGACTCCCTATGCCATTTGTTGTGCCCAAGCAAGTAATTCCCTGGATGTGGCCAGCCAGAGGTGGTTATACACCCACGGCTTGAGAGATCATCTCCATCCCACCAGTTCCCATGTAGGACCAGGCCTGGATGGTCCATTGAAGCTAATGAAAATGTGCTAATTGCATCTTGTCACTCGTCACCATCACATGTCCACTTCCCTCTTCTCCCACTGGGTTATTGCCCAGGCAAGATGATGGGATTCTTCTCCCATTGGATTATTACCCAGGCCATTAGTAGACAAGATGATGGGATGATGGTGCCTCTCATGTATGTATTGAGATGCTCTGAGTCTTCATGTCTGAGAAGCCCATGATCAGCCATTGGGTAGCACCAAGCCAACAGCTGCCTCGTGCTACAGCAAAGGGCCACCAGCTCATGTGAGGAGCAGAGATTTGGGGCCAATAGGGCTCACGTCCTCCTCATGGCACCTCCTTTGTGCCCATCCTTGCAGAGATCCGCCTCTCCAACGGGCCCAGCCGGTGCCAGGGCCGAGTGGAGATCTTCTACAATGGCTCCTGGGGGACGGTGTGCGATGACGACTGGGACCTCGTGGATGCCAACGTTGTGTGTCGCCAGCTGGGCTGTGGCCACGCCATCACCCTCCCTCCTGCCATGGCCTTCGGCCAAGGGAGCGGACCCATCTTCCTGGACAACGTGGACTGCAAGGGCCGGGAGGTGGCCTTGAGCGAGTGCTGGAGCCATGGATGGGGCATCCACAACTGCTACCACTATGAGGATGTGGCTGTCGTATGCAATGGTAACGAGGTTTGGTTCCTTGGGGGCAAGGAGAGCAGAGGTGCAGTTGCCCTGGGGGAGCCCAAGAGCTGTGTCTTATACCCTGGGTCAGCCAAACCTCCTCTGCATCCTTCCTCCACCCTTGTCCTCCATCCAGGTCACCTCCCAGCTCAGCATGCTGGTGCTCCATAAGGTGACCAGCCTGTTCTGTGCTCCCCGTCACTCCCAGCTCAGGGACTTTGCAACCTCTCCAGCAGGATCCCTGGGGAAAGAGCACATGGTGACCCACATTCCTGCCTCTGAGTCAGCCGCTGCCCGACTGCGCTTCCCCCCTTTTGTCTTGTCTTGCTTTAAATTGCCGAGCTTTTCAGTAGGAAATGTTCCTAAAGGTGAGAAAAGCGGTGGAAAGTGTTGGCAAGAGAAAGTGGAACAGCTCCGTGCCCACCACTATAGACCCAACGTGTTCCTCCTGCAGTTATGTAGGGTTTGCTCAGCAGCCACACATCAATGACAGGCAAACGTGAGGATGTGCAGACCTGGAGCTCAGCCACAGCTGCAACTGCTCAGTGCATCCCTGCATCCCGCAGGCTTGGAAAGGGCTGGGATGCTGGGCTGGCAACCAGAGAGAGGAAGCTGTGAACTGAGCAGGAGCCCTGCACCAAGGCACTGCTGGAGACAGGAGGGGGAAGGATTGGAGAAGGAGGAGATAGGTCTGAGGGCAGAGGAGCAGCTTGAGCCCTTGGGTGTTTGTAGCTTGGTGGGTGATGGAGACCTGGAGATGCTCCTCTCCTGAGAGGAGATGCAGGAGTCCACCCAAGCACCAGACCCCAGGAAAGGTGCTTCCTCTGTGTAGAAGCTTTCAGGAGCCAGCTTGGTTCTGTTGGTTGTGGTTCCAGAGGGAAGCATGGGGTCAGGAAGCTCTTCTCCATGTTGGTGAAGCACTTCCCGGGATGCTTCCCACAACCCTTGGCATGCGAGTGGCTGCCTGTCAGATCACCCCAATAAACTCACCATGAGGAGATGGGACACGATGGCTTGATCCAACATTGTTAGCAAAAGAAAGAGAGGTAAAATCAAGGTATTACTGGTTTTTACATATATATGCCATGATTTCGGATCCAAATCCCATGATGGGTGGGATGCTGACTCCTCACAGCTGAGTGCAGCTGTATGGTTTAGTCCAGGTCCCCATGCCACAGCTTCCCACTGTGCCAGCAGCCAAGGTCCTGGCTCCATCCATCCATCCACCTTCCTGCACCTACCATGGGGCAGATAGCGCCGGGCAGGGCAGTGCAGCTGCAAGCCCATCGTTCTTTCCCCATTGAGGCTAGTTTGGTGCAAACCCTCTTGATGTCCATGGAGGGAAAGGCAGCACACAGGGCTCCTGGATGGATCACTGTGGGATGGATGCCACCTCTCTGCTTCCCTTTGCAGAGCTGTCACCCACACAAGCCAGCGAAGGACCGACAAGCAGGACCCTCACAGCCTCAGTGCAGGATGGGGAAAGTAAGCTGCTTGGCTTCACTTACAGGGGGCTGGGAGAGAGCAGCATCCATCACCTTCCCTCCTGCCCCCATAACCCACTGCCCCTCCATGAAGCACCCCAACACTCTGGCTCCAGGGGGCAGATCCCCAGGAACCCTGTCCTAACGCTGGCCATGGCCAAACCCTATCCCAGATGTACCCATCAGTGGTGCTGCCCCAAAGCATCCCCCCTTCCCCGCTGTTTCTCACCACGGGCAGTGAGGGATGCAGGCTCGGTGGCATCGCTGTGTGGTGACCCCCTGGGGAAGGGAACGTCCTTCTCACCCTGTTACCCACCCTGCAGGCGACGGCAGCATCCGCCTGGTGAGAGGGACCGACTCCTGCCAGGGCCGGGTGGAGATCTTCTACCGCGGGAGCTGGGGCACCGTGTGTGACGATGACTGGGGCCTGAGCGATGCCAGCGTGGTCTGCAAGCAGCTGGGATGCGGCCAAGCCCTGGATTACAAGAGCAATGCCTATTTCGGCTACGGCACGGGGCTCATCCTGCTGGACAACGTCAACTGCGATGGCAGCGAGCCCTTCCTGTCCGCCTGCTACAGCCTCGGATGGGGCATCCATAACTGCGGACACCACGAGGATGCTGGGGTCATCTGTGCAGGTACCAGGGCAGAGCATCGCTGTCAGGGTGGAAATCCAGCGATGTCGCTGTCTCCAAGGGGAAACCACCTCAGATGGATGCTGACATGCCCAAGGTCAGGCAGGGATCCGGGTGCTGTGTGCAGGAGCATCCTTGCATCCTTTCTCCTTACCTGCCGTCATCCCGGTGCTCCGGAGCCTGGAACACAGCCCGAGCTGTGGTTTGCAATGGAAATGCATCTGCTGGGCTGCCATTTCCCTGCTCTGCTGGCTGGAAAACAAGCCGCCAGCATCCGGAAGGAGCTGGGCACCGGGACCAGAGGCCTCCCCTTCCCTCCCTGAGTGATGTATTCCTGCCCTTATAATGGCAATAATGCCCTTGAATTCCCTTGTTGTCACGGGAGCAGTAAGCGCCAGTGCTTTTCCCTTTCCCACTATTAAGTGACAAATGGGCTGATGAAGGAGAAATCAGGCTGGTCCTTCCCTCCTTAAACATCCCCATCCCATGGGCATGGAGCCGATGGCACCACCGTGCACAGCCCTTAAACAGTGGGGCAGGGGAGAACCAAGCTTTAGAGCCATCAAACCCGATAAACCCCCAAGGAGAAGCAAGGGGCCCCTCAGTGCTGCATGTGGGACCTCAGCACTTGGGCTGGGTGGGGGAGAAGCAGAATCTCCAGGACATGGGTAGCAGGGATGTGGCGATGGACACGGTCCATCTCCATCCCCATCATCCCGGAGCACCCAGACTCCAGGTCTGCCTCATGGAGTCAGCAGGTTCATGGCTTTGCAGCTTCTCCCCATGTGTCACCTCTGTCCCTTTGTCACCGCAGGGCTGGACACGTCCACCATCACGTCCTTCACCACCTCGGGGACCCTGGACTATGAGGAGACGTTCACTGCCACGGCCACAGGTAGGGGAGAGCCACCCTGCTCATCCTTGTGCCATAGCCGGGGGCTTGCTGGGGGGGCCGACCATGTCTCCTATGTCCTCCTTTGACCCAGCACAGTCACCCTGGGTCCTGCTGCATGCAGGTGAGCCGGGGGGTGACACTGACCACGGCAGGAGCTTGCCATGGGGCTGTCGTGGTGATAGAGGCCATTGGCACCTAGCAGAGGGGCAGCAGGTGCTGGGTCTGGACCTGCTCAGCACCCTCCTGTGCCCATGGTTGTCCCAGCAGTGACAGACAGCAGGGACCAGCCCTCCGAGGCCACCGAGGTGCTCACCACCGCTCTCCTCACCATCGAGCAGGAAAGTGAGTGCACGGCCACTGCTGGCTCTGCACAGCATCCTTGTCCAGAGCATCCCCACAGCATCCCCAGGGGCTCACCTCGCATCCCAGGGCTCACCCCATGCTCCCAGGGAGCTCACCCCGTGCCCTGCAAGGGTTCACCCCACATCTTCAGGGATCACTCCATGCTCACAGTGTTCACCCCGGGCTGCTTGGGAGTCCCCCCCTCTCCTCAGGGTCACCCCACATTCCTGGGAGTCCCCCTGGGGGCTCACCCCATGCTCCCCAGGGGCTCACCCCGCATCTCCAGGACTCACCCCATGCTTCCCAGGGGCTCATTCCATGCCTCTAAGGGCTCACCCCCACATCCCCAGGGCTCCCTCCATCTCCCCATGGGGTTGCTTATATTTCCCCATAGCTCACCCCTCATCCCCAGGCCTCACCCCACACTCCCCGCTACCTCACCCCACATCCCCAGGGCTCACCCAAGGGCTCCCGCACATCCCCAGGGCTCCCCCCATGCCCCCAGGGTGTTGCTCCCGCGTATCCCCAGCGATTACCCCACAACCCAAGGGCTCCCCCCCCCCATCACCCCGTACCCCGATGGCCACCCATTACCACGGCACCCGTCTCAGACCCCCCGTTCCCCGCAAGGCACCGGCGTGCGGCTGTCGAGCGGCAACGGGAGCTGCCGCGGGCGGGTGGAGGTGCGGCACGGCGGGACATGGGGCACGGTGTGCGACGACGACTGGGACTTCCCGGACGCGGCCGTGGTGTGCAGGCAGCTGGGCTGCGGCCCCGCTCTCGCCGCCACCGTGCTCGGCTCCTTCGGCTACGGCAGCGGGCCCGTGCTGCTGGACAACGTGGGCTGCGGAGGCGGCGAGGAGCGGCTCCAGGACTGCTTCCACCTCGGCTGGGGGCAGCACAACTGCGGGCACCACGAGGATGCCGGAGTCATCTGCCAAGGTGCGGGGATGCTGGAGGAGGGCTCCTCGGTTGGGATGCAGGGGGAGGACAAGGGGATGGGGTCAGGAACACGGGGGGGTTAGGCTGGAGGTGAGGAGGTTCTTCCCTGTGAGGGTGGTGAGGCGCTGGTGCACAAAGACGTGGTGAATGCTCCATCACCGGACGGGGCTTGGAGCAGCCTGCTCTAGTGGAAGGTGTCCCTGCCCGTTGCAGGGGTTGAGACTGGATGAGCTTAAGGTCCCTTCTAACCCAAACCATTCTATGAGTCTATGGCTCTTGCCTTGCCATCTGGGTGGGAGAAGTGGGATGGATGCAACCATCCAGGTGTCTGCTTGGTAGCATGGAAATTCAATGGGATAATGGGTGCAGGGAGGATTTTGGCCTCCCTACACCCTCCGATGCTCAGGCTGGCTGTGGGAAATAGGGTTTGCAAAATGGGGTTCTAGGTGAATGTGAGCCCCAGAACATGGGGCTCCTCCTGCCCACAGTGGTTGGATGCTGTGGTGCCCAGTGATGGCTGGAGCATGGGTACCACCTCTGCTCTCTGTTTGTGTCCTGGAAGCGTGGTGGCTGCCCATCCCACTCCACTCATCCCTGCATCCATACCCAGACACCCCATGCTGCTTCTGGGTGCCCCTGACCAGGGGCAAAGACATCCCGAGTCACTTTTCCCACCCCTTCTCCACTGCACCAGATCCTGATGATGCTGGAGACCATTCCCAAGAAGCCACCACTACAACCACCACGCTGACCTCAACTCGTCCCAAGGATGGTAAGTATTGAGGTATCACCTGGGGATGCAGTACCAGCCCTGAGGATGCTCTGCACCAGCACAGGATGGAAACTGAAGTGGCTTGGTCAGAGAAGCCTGAAGCACTGACACTGAGCAGCCCAGGGGAGGGGGAAAAGACACAGTGGTGGGACCATTAAGCTGTGGCTTCTCCTGGTGCCTCTAGGGATGGTCCAGGCAGGGGAGGTGATGGACATCAGGTGATGGACTGCTAAGTGATGGTGGGGAGAGTAAGTGATGGAGCTTAATGGGGAGAGAAGGTGATGGAGCTTGATGGGGAGAGGAGGTGATGGAGCGTGATGGGGAGAGGAGGTGATGGAGCTTGATGGGGAGAGGAGGTGATGGAGCTTGATGGGGAGAGGAGGTGATGGAGCTTGATGGGGAGAGGAGGTGATGGAGCTTGATGGGGGAGGAGGTGATGGAGCGTGATGGGGAGAGGAGGGAATGGACCAACGGGTCTGATCTGAACAGAGATTATTGTCTGTTCATTCAACTTGAACATTCACCTCGATGCATTGTGGGTCAGCCCCAGCTCACTCCCTTGTGCTCCTGCCTATGCAGAGGCAGTGCAGGGCAATCCAGAGACCAGGGCTCTTCTTGCCTTGGGACCAACCGGACCATTCTCCATCACTCCTGCAGACCCATCCCAGCGGGTACCACTGCCCCAGTGGTGATGGTGAACGCAGACAGAGTCCCCCTCATCCCTCAGCCCATGCCCTCCACAGGGTCCCTGCGCCTGGTGAACGGCAGCCACCGGTGCGAGGGGCGCGTGGAGCTGTTCCTCCTGTCGCAGTGGGGCACGGTGTGCGACGACGCCTGGGACCTGCGTGACGCCGGGGTCGTGTGCCGGCAGCTGGGCTGCGGCCGCGCCGTGGCGGCCTGGGGCGAGGCGCGGTACGGGCAGGGCACCGGGTACATCTTCCTCGACAACCTCAAGTGCCAGGGGCACGAGGCCTCGCTGCTGCGCTGCTCCCACATCCGCTGGGACGTCCACAACTGCGACCACTCCGAGGATGCCGGTGCTGCCTGCAGCAGCCGGTGAGCGCGAGCAGCGCGGAGGTGAGCGGGGATGGGGATGGTGGAGGGGGTGATGCACACAAAGGGGGTGCTGGCTGGGGACTCTTTGAGGATGGGGAGAGCTGGGTGAAGATTGGGTTTTATAAGCCACAGAATGGTTTGGGTTGGAAAAGGCCTTAAGAGCATCCAGTTCCAACCCCTGCCATGAGCAGGGACACCTTCCACTACAGCAGGTTGCTCCAAACCCCATCCAACATGGCCTTGAACACTGCCAGGGATGGGGCAGCCACAGCTTCTCTGGGCACCCTGTGCCAGCACCTCAGCACCCTCACAGGGAAGAACTTGCTCCTTATCCCCAACCTGAACTTCCCCTGTTTCAGTTTGAACCCATCACCCCTTGTCCTATCCCTACAGTCCCTGATGAAGAGCCCCTCTCCAGATGAGGTTTCCTCAGCTCCTAAAACACTGGCTGCATCTTCCCACCCCCCCCCCACCCCCCCCCCCCAAGCTGCCCCTTGGGAAAACAAATCCATTTTGGTGTGAAATCTGGTTGGTTTCAGCCATTTCACTGAAGAGATGAGGAAAATGGATTTTCAGCTGTGAAAACAACATTACATTATGCTCAGACAATGTAAAAAGGGGGCTGAAACCAAACCAGGACATTCCAGTGCCTCTGCACGAAGTCACTGCAGTGCTGCAATTTGCTTTGCAACCCCCAGCAATGCAAATACCAGGTTTTTGTTCTCCTTTTGGCAGAACAAATACCAAATCCTCACCAATTTCCTTGCAGCAGTGATGCAGGGGCTGGATCTCACACCATCTGCAGCCCCATCCTGCTTTGCTGCTGCCCAGTATTTCTCCCTCGTGCCCATTCCACCTCCTATTTCTTCTGCTGAGATTTCCCTTCAGCACAGCCAGTCTCTGCCTCGTTTTCCTATGGTGAAAATCCACAGGGAAAACCCTAAATCCCTTCCCAGCACAAGGATGCTGAGCCCAGTCCCTTCCCCAGCATCACGCCTTTGTGGTAAGGGCTGTATCCCTCCCAGATCAGGTGGAAGGACCCATCCTGCAGCCCCATCGCTGCGTGTGATGTCTGATGGACACCAACAAAATGACCTTCCTGATTCCATGGATGGGGTGTGAGGGTGGGAGTGGCTCATGCAGAGGCAGGGAGCGGGTCCCAGCTGCTCCCTCTGCCCTGCTCACTCCTCTGGTTGTGCTATCCTTTTGTCAATAATAGATCGCGCACGTCCCTGCCTTGTTCTGGGGGCTTTTTTCTTCCCCATTATTTTTCTTATATGTGTTTGGGATTGTTTTGTGAATAAATAAAAGACCTTTGAAAGTGTGCTGAGTCATGGAGTCATGGAATCATGGAATGGGACAGTAAAGCTCATCCAGTTCCAACCCCTGCCATGGAAAGGGACACCTTCCATTAGAGCAGGTTGCTCCAAGCCCCATCCAGCCTGGCCTTGAGCACTGCCAGGGATGGGGCATTCACCACTTCTCACTTCCCTGCCATTCCCTGGGCTGGGAACAAGCGATGCCCCAGGCCCAGAGGTGAGGGCTCAGCTCCTGCTGCCCAATATTGGTGCAAATCCCTTGATGCTCCCTGAGCATCCCTCAATTCCCAACTAACTGGGAGCTGAGTTTGGACCCTTCCCCACCCCAGCTCCCGGGGGACAGCCCTGACCCACACCAGGCTTATGGAGATGAGGTTGGGTCCAGATTCGGGTTTGGTCCCATTGGGATTTGGCAGCCCCATGGAGCTGAAGTGGGTGCGTTGGTTGTTGTTGTGCTGCCGTAGAGGCTCTGCAGTGCTGATGGCAGTAACTCCAGTGCTGCTTGCTAACAACAGAGGAGCAGATGGGAAGAGATTGTCCTGGGAGCTGCAGACCCTGTTCCTGCCTGCGGGGAGAGGCTGGGACCAGGATACAGGGTTCCATGATTTGGGGATGCTTTTCTGCACCCCAATTGGGCATCACACATCACGGTGTGGCTGTGGCATCACGCTGATGCTGGGTGTCTCTCCACTGCTTCCCATGCTGTGGGCTCTCCAAGCACCTTGCTCCCACTCCAGTGGGGAAACTGAGGCAAGAAGCGTCTTCCAGGCACACCTTGCTGGAGGAATTGGACATGGACTTGCTGGGACCCTGGGAGAGGGCAGGGAGGTGGAGTGTGAATAAAACCCCTCCATTTACTGTGCCCCCAGGTCCCGCATGCTCAGCTGCTTCCTCTGCCTCCTGCTGCCACCACCATCCCCTGCCTCGCCTCCTGCCTCCAGCCAGATGGGCAATGCCTGGATCCTGCTGGGAGCAGGAGCGGGATGGAGCGGTCCTCGGCAGATTTTCCCTGTTTTCCGCAGGGATTGTGCCTTGAGCAGGCAAAGCTGGGCTGGGTTTTGGTGTTATCCCGCTTTGCTCCTCTTTGCTTTGGGCGAAGAGCAGGTCCTGTTCTCCTCAGGGTTATCCTTTCACTAGAGATTGGAAGGGACCTCAAAAGGTCATCTAGTCCAATCCCCCTGCTTTCCACAGCCTGTAATCCGGCAAGTAAAGGGTTTCAGCCGGGAGACACAGCGCCTCCTCCCTTGCTTTACAGCCTTTTCTCCCTGCAGCCAGATCGGGATACGCTGGGATTCACAGGGATCCCCCCAGGCACCCCATGAGCAAGCTGGGCATCATCTCCACAGGAGCACGGGTGTGACAGGCAGGCTGGGAGCAGGGAACCAGCACGGGGGATGCTCCATCCCTTGAGCAGAGTACCAGCATGTGGGATGCTCCATCCCTTGAGCAGGGTACCAGCACGGGGGATGCTCCATCCCTGGAGCAGAGTACCAGCACGGGGGATGCTCCATCCCTTGAGCAGAGTACCAGCATGTGGGATGCTCCATCCCTTGAGCAGGGTACCAGCACAGGAGATGCTCCATCCCTGGAGCAGGGTACCAGCACGGGGGATGCTCCATCCCTGGAGCAGGGTACCAGCACAGGAGATGCTCCATCCCTGGAGCAGGGTACCAGCACAGGAGATGCTCCATCCCTTGAGCAGGGTACCAGCACGGGGGATGCTCCATCCCTGGAGCAAGGTACCAGCACGGGGGATGCTGCATCCCTGGAGCAGGGTACCAGCAGACAGGGATGCTGGTGGAGCAGGAGCATCCTGTGGGATCACAGCCAGGCCGCAGTGGCTACATGGGAGCTGGGAGAAGCCTGGTGCCTGCCCAGCTCTTATCCTCTTGCCGACGTCAGCTGTTTGCCGTGCCTGGAGCAGCTGCAGCTCCACACCAGTCAATGCCATCGATTAGTTCCTCTCCTGTCCCTGGAGAGGGGCTGGGGCGGGGGATGGCAGGGGGAGAGAGAATGAATATTTCAGGAGGTCCAGGCAAAAGCTGGGGTTATTTTGGGGCCGGGATTTATGGGCTATTAGGGATAAGGAATGAGTCTGTGCTGAGGAGAGAAGACCCATTAATCCAGGCTGAAGGAGCACAAATGAGCAAGGGGAAATGGAGGAGGGTTTAATTATTGTGCCACATTACAGTATAATAAGCCAGGCCTCTGGCTGAGCACTTCTGTGGGGCTCTGGAGCTCTGCAGAATTGGGGCAGGCAAAGGGGTGCTTGTGGTTAACACACACCCCCCCCATAGCTGTGCTGGGAGGGATGGGGGTCCCCTAGTTTTAGTCTCATAAGACCAGTATGAGACCAGTACAAGAAGTGCTGGGATGAGGTATGGAGGATGCACTGCATGTGAGGGGAGCTGCAGAGTGTGGGGATGGCTGGAGGGACCTGTGGGTCAGTGCCTGGTCCCAGGGATGCCCCCCCCGGGCCCCCCCGGCTGGATCAGCCCCATAGACCCACCGTGCCCCATTAAGGCAATCCCATCTGCGTTGTAACCGGAGGAGCTGGGCACTGGTGCAGGGTGAGTCAGTGCCATAGGCAGCCCTGGCCCGGGGAGCATCCCTGGTGGTGCTGTGCCCAGCATCATCCGGGTGACCTTGGGCTCTCTGTGTTCCCCCCTGCTCTCCCTGCTGCCTCTGCATCACCCAAGTGCCTCAGTTTCCCCAGGGACACTGGGGATGGTGGCCCTGGCTCACCCCTTGGCACCCTTAGGGAGCTTGCAGGGATGCAGCAGCCCTGGCTGGAGGCGCACTGGGGGGGGTACCCAGGGGCTGATTAACCCTCACTGGTTACAGCCTGCCCCATCCACTGCAGTGGGGAGGTCCTGGGGATGTAGGCACCCACCCAAGGATGCAGGGCAGGGACAGTCTGGACCACATCCCCCTCCGATGGGATGGATGAGGACCAGGTCTCCCTGCAGCATCCCTGCGGCAGATCAAGTCCCTTGGGGTGCCAAGGTCACACCACATTGGGGTGCCGGAGCCGCTCATTGCACCCCACGCCGGAGCAGTGTCCTCCTTCCCAGCTCCTGCCTCCCGCTGACGTCACCGCCGGAGCCAGGCGCTATTTTGGGATCTGCAAAGTCACTGGCGCAGTTATCCCGCTGGCAACGGGACCGCGGGGACCGCTGCGCTCCATCACCACCGAGCGCCGTGCCCGGGGCTGCGCGGCCACGGCCCGCGGGCACCGGGGTAACCGGCCCCGGCTGCAGATCCTGCTCCATCCATCCATCCATCCATCCATCACCGCCGGCTCTCCCGTTAATTGCGTTTCGCTGCCCCACGTGTGCTGCTGAGCGCTGGCCAAATCCGCCGCCTGCGTTTAGAGACAGGCAGGGAAGCAATTATCTGGCAGCGATGCGGGCAGCCTGCTTCCCATGGGATGGCACGGGCGAGGGGCTGGGAGCGGGGGTCCTGGGGACGCTGCCTTTGGGTTCATCCAGCCTGCATCATCCCGGATGCAGCCACTGGGGTGCCGCCGGGTGCTCCCGGATGCGCAGCACCCATAGACCCGTTGTTCCCTGCCCCAGCGATGGGGATGTGCTATGTGCTGCTGTTATAGCAAAGGGACACAGGGCACAGCACAAGCAGACAGGGGGTCCTGCTCTGAAAGTGCCTTTGTGCCTGGGGACATAGGGACAGTTAGAGGGGACAGTTAGAGGGGACAGCCCTCCTCCTTCCCCAGTGCTGGCTGCTTTCTCTCCCCCAGTAACCTCCAGGTCATGGCCAAAGGGGACATGCACAGAAATGCAGCAAGAAGCTAATGCTGGCAGACTTCAAACACCCCAAAAGCGGGGCTAAAAAATCCCTTTTCAAATCCCGACACTTTCCTATGTGACCCCAACATCTCTTTCAGTCTCATCCCTCAGGAAAACAACCCAAATCCTCATTCCCAGTGCCTGGAGAGGAGCTATAGCACAAATCAGTGCTCAGCTCCCCAAACCCTGAGGTTTTGGGCAAGGAGACCCGCGGGGCTTGATGCAGCCCGCGGGATGGGATAAGCAGAGCAGAGACCCTCGTGTCTCCGCATCACTTTGAGCCCCAACTTCCCCTGGAAGGGGGGGGGAACGACGGACTCCCACCTGCACTGGGGCTGGAGCCGCTGGTCCTTCTGTGGGGATGCATGGGGCTGGGTGGGCACGGGGGTCCGGGGGATGGCTTTGGGATGAGAGGGGCCATGGGAAGGCAGTGTCAAAGTGGGGAGCGTGTGGTTCCCCCCCTTTCCCGGCGCTGGAGCAGGGGTCGGTGGGGCTGGGAGCTGCGAGACTGTGCTGAGTCACGCTGCAGAGCAGGACTGCAGCAAGCTGCCGCCCGCCTGCAATGGGGACGCTGTGACAGCCCCGGCCCTCCTGCCCGCCCCTCGCCTGCTCCAGGGGGCAGGATGCTGATGGGGGGGGTGATGCTCAGGATGGGGGGTCAGCAAGGTCTCGCTGTCTCACTGCTCCCAGCCTTTATTGCACCTCTGAAGCCCCTTTAATAGGGATGGGGCAGATCAGGGGTGCCAGGGCAGGGGAGGAGGAGGACTGAGCTGTCCTTGGAGGATGTGTCCCTAACCCCAGTGTCCCCCCATGTAGACACAACTGGGGGGGACAGCACAGCACAAAAAGGCACTTGGCACTGCTGGAACATAGCACTGGGGGGTGTGTGTGTGTGTGGGGGGGGTGCATTGACAAAGACCCCCATAGCTCCCACCCAGTGCCACCAATGGGGCTGAGCATCCCACATCCCCAACAGCTGCCCTGCACAGGACAAAGGGTTGAGGCAGGTTCCTGCTGTAGAGGGAAACTGAGGCAGTGCCCATAGGATTGGCCCCACACGTTG